TTGTCAACCTGAGGCAGTATTACCTATAATTACCGAACTCCAGAGGAGTGGACTATTAAGTCACTCCCCCAACCTAAGGGCCAAAAAGCCGAGCTAAGGACCTTGGCACCCAGTCGCCTCTTCGGCATGGGCGAACTCCAGAGGAGTGGACTATTAAGTCGCTCCCCCAGCCTAAGGGCCAAAACACCGAGCTAAGGACCTCGGCGCTCAGTCGCCACTTCGGCATGGGCGAACTCTAGGAGAGTAGACTATAAGTCGCTCCCCCAGCCTAAGGGATAAAGCACCGAGCTAACGAAATACCTCGGCACCGTATAAGACCTAGTTGCCTCATCGGTGTAGGCTAAGTACTGGTAATGCCTAAGGTGTAGGCAGCTCGAGCGTGAACCTTATGATGCATAGCCCACCCCGGCATATAGCAGGTTGAACCCGTTAGGGACAATCGATGTCAACTTAAGTAGCCCGGGTGCAGACAGTTCGGGCTTATATCCTACTATGTTGCTCACCTCGGTGTATATCGTAAAGTTACCCCTACTAAGTACTGGGAGACATTTCGGGGTAACAACAGTTGAGAAACCTCAACTTCGGGTACTTAGCTCGATAGCTCAACAGTTCGGGGTAAAATAATTACTTCGGCTAATAAAGTAAATTGCACAACACTTGGCAAAAAGTTATTTTCATTACAAAAAGGTTTTACAAAAGGAGAAGGAAAAACTGAGCTCGCAGGCTCAAAGTAGAAGGACTGTTCAAACTACTTGGGGAACTCGCCTGGGGCCTCCGCAAAAGTGTCGACCTAGTCGGCAGCAACACCGGCCTCCTCGATGTCTTCGTCGTCCTCCTCTTTAGAGTCCGGGTCTTCGGCGGCTTGATAGGCTACCTCTCCCGTGATTCGCGAAGTGGTGATGGCGCTCACATCAAGCTATGGGAACTCGCGCTTTATCAACCACCGACTGAGCTTGAAGCCTTTGCGGTAGGCATCCACCATCACCCCGTCGAACTCCTCCGACATGATGTGGTCTTGGACGGCCTTGACCTTGGCCTCCTCCATAGCGCCAAGAAGGATGTCAGTTCACTCCTTGACATCGGCTTCGAGGTTCTCTACTTGGCGCTTTAGAGTCCCCTTATCTGCCTCGAGGTTCTCCACCTTGCGCAACAATTCCTCCTTCTCGAGTAGCCACTCTTCCTTCTCGCGCTGCCACTCCTCCTTCTCTGACATCAGCGACGTAACTAACTCTTTCCGAGCTAGCACATCGACCTCTAGCTGGTGGATTTGGCCGCAAGTTAGCTTCAAATCGGAGTGGGCTACGCGGGCTGAGTTTTCGGCAGCCCGAGCTCGCTTCAGGTACCTCTCAGATTGGAGAGTCAAGGCATGCACGGTAGAGTTTACATGTCAGGAGAATAACAGTTAGCACCAGTAAGGAAACAATTGCAGAAGTTTGAAGTAAACGGAACTTACCACCATAGAGTGGGTAGCTGCCCGAGCTCCGAAATGAGAAAAAGATAGCTCGGCCCATTCGGAGACCTCCTCGGCGTACACAACCTCTTTGCTCTTCCGAAGGCTGTGTTGCGGGTTCAAGATGCTCCGAGCTGTTCCTTCGCTCCCTGAGGAAGTGACGGGCACGAGAGCGGGCTCTGCAGTGGTCTTGGGAGCAGGCTCTGTAGTCTCAGGAATAGGCTCCGCAATTGCCTCGGGCTCCCAAGGTGGGAGGTTCTCTGATCCCTCTAGGTCAATCACCAGAGCTATAGCAGGCTGTTCGGGCTTCGGGGTAGGAGCTTGTAGAGATTCAATGCAAGCTCTCTTTGCAGCTCGCTTATTTCTCCCCTTCATCTTTCCGAAGAGTTTTTCTGCACTAAATCGCCCATAGGACCTGCAACAAAGTTCAACGTCAGTAATGCTACCAAGAAGTAGAAACTGACTACTAAAGAAAAATACTAACTCTACACAAGGTGACCTACCGGGACTCAGACCGGCCTCGATGAGCTTGTTCTCGGTGAGGTAGTCCTTGTAGTCGAAGCCAAGCTCCGCCCAAGACTGAAGTATCTCGCTTGTATCTCGGTCCAGCCTAATGCCAGAGTCTTGAATGGCCACCCTCCAGTGAGTAGGGAAGGGCCACCCCGTAGAGTTACGATCTACAAAGTAGTCCCGTTTCCAGGCTGGGACTTTACTAGGAAGCTTATGTAACAACTTGAAGCCTAGGCGGGGGGACAGGTAGTAGGTCCGTCTGTGCTCAGGGAGAACACTAGATGCATTCTTCTTTATCGATAAGATAGAAGAGAAAATGTCAAGGTCAAGAGGAAGGGTGTAACCGAAGCAGAGAGAAATTGTACCGACCACGTTCTGGACAGAGTTCGGGTGGAGTTGATCTATGGTTACATCGAAATGATTTAACACTTCAACAATTAGGGGGTGCAGTGGAAGGCAGAATCCGACCGCGAGCTGTTCCCCAAAAATCACGATCTCATCATGATTGTGTTCCCAAGGGAAGTCGCTCGCAGGAAGAAGGTAGGTGTACTCCCTAGGAAGGTTGTACCGGGCTATCAGGCTCCTAAGCCTGTCTATTGTCATGGTAGAAGGACCAAACGTATATGGTATCCGACCTCAATTAGAGGTGGATGTCGGGTTACCCGAGGTCTTCCGCATATCGTAGGTGAAATGTGCCTCGGAGGCACCTACTTGATCCTAGGTACCCACCTCGGGCTCATGTAAGAGACTATCTACTTGAGCCGGGGCACCTACCTCGGGTTCGTCTAAGAGACTGTCGAAGCTATGGTCTGACATAGCTACAAACTGAATTGAACTGAGGGAAGCTAACTACGAAACTGAAAAGACTGGAAATGAACTGAAAGAAGTCGCTAGGGAGACTCACCAAAGAAAAAGTAACCGAGCCGGGAAAAGAGACAAACTAGAGAACCCGAGCTGAAGACCTTAGACGCGACCTCATGTCAAGTGCTAGTGAACTTATGGCGGAGAAAATGACGGGGGTCCCCCTATTTATAGCCGGTATGTCCGAGATTCAACGGTTGAGATCAAGACGATCTAACGGCTCTCAAGAAAACCGGCTGCGCGACCCCCAAGGTGAAATCAGTTTAGTGTGTTTTTTGAC